TCCGAACACCTGCTCTGTGCAAGGTGCTGAACCAGGCCATGTGAGGGGGACCCAGAAAAGGAGGAGACCCTGTTGGTTTCTCCTCTCTGATAAATAGAAATGCCGGACACTGCTCATAGGTAAGAGATCAGTGGCTTGCCAAGAGCCACAAGAGTAACCCACAGTTAAGGATGGTGTTTCAATCATTATGTCCCGCTGAGAGAAGAAAGTTTTATGGCAGAAGGAAGAAGGGGGCCACTCCCTTCCTCGGAGATTGAAATAGTTGACGGAAAGAAGGTTGGGAGTGTGTGTATGTGAGGTGTCAACCTACACCAGGTACTTGGTGTTGGCAACCCACAGCCAGCTCTCCGATGCTTCGGACACAGTATCCAGCAATTTGGTTCTGTTCTGAGAGTTAGCATCAGATCCTATAAAGTAAGGGCTCAGTCCCACACCTGCCTCTACTTCAGACTGTCCAGCTGAGGTTGAATTCAGACATTTAGTCATTTTCCAGAACAGCTCCTGGAACTCAAGAACCCACTTGACCTCAGTTGACTGTTGTTATAAAGGATCCCACTCAGAAACAGCTGAATGGAAGAGATGCAGGGCAGGTGTGTGGGGAGGAGGGGAGCTTCCACGCCATCTGCATCCTGGCACCGTAATATGTTCACCAGCCTGGGAGCTCTGAACCTCATGGTTCGAGAGTTTCATAACCCCATCTGCAGCCTTGCTCCTCTTCTCTGAGATAGGGATGGGGCAGGGCTGAAAGTTCCCAGCCTCTAACCCAGGGCTGGTCTTTCTGGTGACCTGCTACATCCGGCCAGCCTGAAGCCCTGTGGGGGGTGCCACCTGAAGTCAGCTCAATAGAATAAAAGATGTGCTCCTTGAAAGACACTCCCATCACTCAGGAAGTTCCAAGGGTTTTAGGAGCTCTTTGCTAGGAACCAAGAAAAAAGACCAAATATATTTCTTTCTTTCTTTTTTTTTCAAACAATTCCCTCTTATTTTTTTAAATTAAATCTGGGGAGGGGGTAATTAGTTTTATTTATGTATTTATTTTTTAATGGAGGTGCTGTGTATTGAACCCAGGACCTTGTGCATGCTAAACACACACTCTACCACTGAGCTATAACCCCCTCAAATACATTTCTTATTATACCATAATGTACTTCTTGTAAACAAAGGAAACGTTCCCTTTCTTCTGCTTCATTCATTTGCTCTCACTCTCTGCTCTTTTTTTTTTCTTTCTCTCTTGCTCTAAATATCCCCATGCATATATGTGTATATGTGCTTAAAAAGAGTTTCCTGTGGGCCCCAGGCAGGTTCTAATAGGGCCAATTCTCAGACCCATGAAAGAACTGAGATTTCTACTTGCATTTTATTTAAATTTTTTTCTTTTATTGAAGTATAGTTGATTTAAATATCATATTAGTTTCAGGTGCATAGCAAAGTGATTCAGTTATACACATGTGTATAAATATATATATATATATATATACACATATACATATATATGTATGTATTCTTTTTGAGATTCTTTTCCATTATAGGTTATTACAAATATTGAATATAGTTCCCTGTGCTGTACAGGAAGTCCTTGTTGTTTATTTTATATATAGCAGTATGTATCTGCAAATCCCTAACTCCCGATTTATCCCTCCACCCACTCCCCTTGGTAACCGTAAGTTTGTTTGGTATGTCTGTGAGTCTGTTTCTGTTTTGTAAATAAATTCATTTGTATCGTTTTTTAGATTCCACATACAAGTGATATCATATGATATTTGTATTTCTCTGTCTGACTTATTTCACTTAGTATGATTATCTCTAGGTCCATCCATATTGCTGCAAATGGTATTATTTCATTCTTCTCAAGGCTGCATAGTATTCCATTGTATAAATGTACCACATCTTCTTTATCCAGGCATCTGTCGATGGACGTCCAGGTTGCTTCCATGTCTTGGCTGTTGTGAATAGTGCTGCTGTGAACATTGCCTGCTGTGCATTTTAGATCAAGGGCCCCTTCCTCGCTTGTGTGTTCCCTTAACCACCCTGCATAATCTTATCTTGAACACTCAAGGAGAAGAGATCACACAGAAATCGGGAGAGAAGGCACAGCACAGCCTCTTCTGATGTGAAACTCTGGGAGCACTGGCCTTTCTGGGTCTGTGCTTGTTTCCAGGTGCCCCCTGTGTGGAAACCGTGCCAGCTGCTGTCTGTACAAAGAGTTTGCTCAGTGCCTCTGCCCTCCGGGGCCCTACAAGCTAAATGAGCAGTGAGTGCTTTGATAAGAGAGACAATCTCTCTGTGGAATGTGATGGTTTCCCGGCTGTTTTCCACATCCACTCTTAGGAAATTTGTAAAGATTTCAGGGGGCCCCCTGAGCTCTGCTCCTGCTCCCAGGACTCTTGGCACCAAGGTCCCCACTCTGCTTCCCAACCCTGAGTTGGCCCTCGCTCTCTCCATCTTTGGCTGCAACTCAGTTACTACAGCACTCACATCCTCTAGGATTTTGTGAGATGGGGGGAACTTTCCTCCTTTTAAAACCATTCTGTATCACATGCCTCCCAGGGCCGTGTGACTCACCTGCCAATACACGTATTCTTATTTCATCTTTACAGCGCCCGATGGTGTGGGGCACATGTGAGGGAACTGCAGCTCAGAGAGGGTGATTCACTTGCTCCAGCCCACGCAGCTCTTCCCTGCTGGAGTCTTGGTTACAAACCCAAGTCTGTCTGATGCCAAAGCTCCCTGCAGCCCCGCTTTCTGCTGTGAGGGTGGGAGAGACCCAACTTGGCTTTGGATTAAGGGAGAGCAGTGTGAGCAGGAGGGTGGCACCTCCAGGGAAGATGCAGCCTCCCTTGTTGTGGTGCATAATCTGCCCATGCAAACACATTGGGTGAGAGGAACCCACCACACATGGTAGAGCCTGAGGGGTCATCCCCCTTGAAGTCAGATAATGAAGTTCTGAGCCCTGACTCTGTGACTGGCGAAAAAGATGTTGCTTCTCGCTGCTCCGGTTTTCTCTTGTAAATAGGAATAGTAATCACGCTGATATCCCTGCATCCTGGTGAGCACAGCTCACACACGCACGACACTGAGCAAGCAAGATGGCTGGGATGCGTGCCCATGGGGCACATGCAGCTGAATAGGAGCTCAAGGAGGGAAGACGAGAGGGGATGAGGAATTGCCAGGGAGGCTTCCTGCTGCTCAGATATGGTGCCATCAGGAGAGGTTTATGTTTGCTCTCCCATCATGTCAGCAGGCAGGGTGTCTGCCGGCCACACCTACCTTCCTGGGCAGTTCTGGGGCCCTAAAGCCCTGCTCTGCATGTGGTGGTGATAGTGACAGGGTCAGGCTCCGTAATAATTGGCTCCCAACCCAGAGAAGCATCCCAGGGCGGGATCTGAAAATGTGGTAAGGGAAGCACAGGTGCTCAGTGTGGAAGGGCTTATGCAAAACAACCAGAACAAGACTGGCCCTTTCTGGGCAGTCTTCTCTTCTCAAACATACATGTCTAATTAGAAAGCTAAGAGGGGTGGGTCTCTATCCTCAATGCCCCAGGTGTTGCATCAGCACATTACACCGTAACACATCTTCAGTCTCAGAGGTCCGTGGCTGTAAATGCTGTTACTCCACCTCTTGTGGACTTCAGGGAGTCCCAGAATGAGGGTGCTCCCCTGTCCTCTGCAGAGGATCGTGGGATCTCCAGGACATGCCCTCTGACCTCTATTGCCAGTTTCAATAGGTCTAGGCCCACAATCCCTTGGCTGGGATTCCCAAATCTCAATAGCTCTGAAGATGACAAGGGTTTTGTTTGTTTTTATTGTTTTCCTTTGATGTTTTTATAACTTTATATCAAATTCTTTGGGTCTAAAATCAAACTGAAATGGATACGCGATTGAGACATTTATTTTCTCAGCATAAATATGCAAGTTTGCTGCAATAATTGCATGTTTGCAAGTATATTTGCAATAACAATGTGTTTGATTATGGGGAGATGCCCCAGTCCCAGCTGAGGCTGTTACATCACATACCTTTTTAAGCCTAAGAAAGTCTGAACTCCAGAGCAGATGATCCCAGGGGTCCTGGGTACAGGATGGGGGCCTTTACTGGGGTCTTCTCTGATGATGGAACACCTGGAGGAGCTGCTGGGCCCAACCCTGGCAGCCCCGTGACCCTGTGGGTGACGCTGGTTGTACAGCAGTGCAGGTGGGATCCTACCTGAGCAGTCTTTACACGGTCAGTTGACCCCAGGTAGCACCGGTGTGCATGGTTCTGGGACAGAGGACCCTAGATGTGGGCCTTCCTTTTGCAAAGGTCCCTGAAGAACCAACATCAGGCCTGGCACCAGAGAGAAGAACCCGTGTTCACGTGTTTATGACTATTTCCTGAGTCTTCACCTGTACCCTGGTGTCCTGATTCAGTGTGTTGCCACCAAGGCAGTTGTTGGCATTTTTGAGTTGTGGTGTCAGAAGCACTATTCCTCCATGAAAAAAAATAATTCAAGTCCAAAAACACATCCTTAGAGATGTGGGAAAGGTACCCTTGCAGCTGCACGAAGCTCTTTCATGGCAATAAATATTCTCCATTTTTTTTCTTCCTGGTTCTTATTCTAATTGAAAGAATGCATTTATTTTTCTAAAGTGTCCTTACAGTGGAAAACTTTGAAAGTAAAATAGTTATTCATTTGGCTAGGAAAAAAAGAAAAAAAAACCCCGTCTGCTGTGGTAGGGGAAGGCTTGGGGGCAGGCAGGGGACTGGAATTAACTCTGATGCTACCCTCTGACTGTGGCCATGGTGACAACAGGATCTTAAATGGGATTCTTATGCTGTTCACAGTCATTTTGTAAAGGGTTATTTAATTTCCAGTTTCCATATATTTTACAGATAGCAACTCAATTATGTAAATAAGTGTCTAGCACTCTTTTTAGTTTGAACTTATCTAATAATCTCTCATAAGATCTATTAGTAAGCAAGGGAGCCAAGTGCTACAGACTAATGCCGCCGCCTGTGTTTGTCAGTCTTGGACAGATCACTATTTACAATGGAACATGTCAGAGTACCCGGGAGTGAAGACGGTTCGTTTCCCAGATGGCCAGATTTGGAAGCCAGACATTCTCCTCTATAACAGGTAAGGACAGTGGACAAAAGAGGAAAAAAATTATTTCATTCTTGCGCATGATTAACAATGAAGGATATTTGAGTCATTTATAGAAATGCTGGATATGTTATCTATACTGTGGGACTGTTGAGCCCCACAAGGCTTTGTAAGAAGCAGCCCTGTCTCGTGTCCAGTGTTCTCTGCCCTGGCACGCAAGCCTGCATGTCTCAGCACGCTGCCCCCGATGGCTGTGTCTGTAGGGCTGTGGTTACAGCAGTGTAGGTACCTGTGGATGTACTGGTACTGAGACATTTTGCATGTGGCAGTCCCTTTGCCCCGAATGATGGCAGTTACAGCCACAGCATGAAAAGTGTCTGGTCAGTGGGGTGCCTGGCTGAAGTCCACAGTTTTGACCCAGGTCCTCATTTGATGTGCTGCCCGATGTGCATTGAGAGAGTCCTCTACGGGGCTGCTGGGTGTGGGAGACTGTCTTCTCTAGTCACCCTCGGAAAGACGTACCTGACAGAAGAAGGGCGGAGAGCGGTCGTGTTCTGATTGTCCTCCCCAAGTCTGGAGAGGAGCGACTCAGCAGTCATCCAAGGCCATCTGATTTGTAGAGCAGAAGCCCTCAAGGCGGGTATCCAGGCTAAGTTTCTTGAAGCACTGAAATGATTTGCCAAACTGCTTAGTCAAGTAAGGGAACCCAGAACCTCTTCTTTCCAATAAGGTTTAGAATGTGATAACCAACTTGGGAGACAGGAGAGGGATTTCTCAGGGATGACTGCTGCCTTGGTCCCTCCTAGAGGAGAAGGAAGCCGGGTGCCTTCCTGATTCAGGAAACATCGGCCACTGCCCTCGGTCACGGTCACGGTGATCCCCCCGGGACCAGCTGACAGGTTTGTCCTACACTGGCTACTTCCAGAAGGTTGGGAGATTCCGCATCTTGGATCAACTTTTAATTCTTCCTCTGTCTTTCTCACTGATGATCACATTCCATTCGAATCACTGAGCCTGTCTCTAGAAGAATATCCCCTTCTGATTGGCCACTATTCTTCTTAAGTAAGTTCAGACGGCTGAGCTTTGCAAGATGTCTGAAGTCGGAGGAAGTGGTCCCCTCTGGAGCAGAAGCATGTGAGTTCCCATGTTTCCTCTTTGGCCCGTCTGTTTCCTGGGGGCTGTCTTAGTTTCCCCAGGGTGCTGTAACAAAATAGCACAGATTGGGTGACTTAAACAATGAACATTTATTTTCTCCAAGAAATTGATTTTCTTTTGGAGGATGGAGGTCCAAGATCAAGTTATCTTCAGGGTAGGTTTGCTCTGAGACCTCTCTCTTTAGCTTGCAGACGATCGTCTTCTCCCTGTGTCTTTAGCTGGTGTTCCCTCTGTGCATGTCTATGTCCTAATTTCTTCTTATAAAGACATTAGTCATATGGGATTCGGGCTCACTCTGGTGACCTCCTTTTAACTTAGTTACCTCTCTGACTGAAACATTATGTTGTGCACCAGAAATTGACACATTGTAACTGACTATACATCAATCAAAAAAAAAAAAACCAACTCTACGTCCAAATACAGTTACGCTCAGAGGTACAGCAGCATGTGAATTAGGACTTTGACCTGTGACTTTGGGGGGACAGTTCAGCCTATAACAGGGGCATTGCAGTTGACTGCTGAAGGGAAAGTATTATGATCGAACAAGTCTGGGTGTAAATCTTGGCCATGATATTTACTATGTCTCTAAATCTTAGATGCTTCCTTTGCACAACGGGGGAAATGCCATCTTCCCACAGTTTGGAAGGATGATTGCGGGTGTACACAGCATGCTTAGGGTAGTACTCGGCAGAGAGTAAATAGTAACATAGTTGTGTGTCTACAGGCATGATGAGGAGGATTTCTGCTTCAAGTAAGATGGTCTGGCGATTTAAAAAGAAATGCCAATCAGGTTTTTCACTGTTCTCAATTCAGTTTTTTTTTCATCTGGAATCAAGAATAAATATTATAATATGATAGAATCTTAATAATGAGGCTATAAGAGATGGTTCTTATGGCTTATCTGTCAGACCTTGAACCCCAATAAATAAAATGTTCAGAGTTTCTAATATTCTGACTAATGAATTACTAAGTGTTCTAACATAACTGAGTTTCAAGGAGCAAAGATCCAGCCGTCTCTGTCTGACAGGTGCCCCCAGGAATGATGCACGCCCCTCCTTTCCCCTCGTCTTTCCCCTGAAGCTCCAGGTAACCGCCCTCCTCCTTCCTTCCCCTCCCGTATCCCTATTGATGCGTCCACAGCCTCCATCATGGGGTCTGTCCAAGCTGCTTCCTTTTCTGCCTTAGTTTTTTTCTGAGAAACAAGATACGGGACCTTGAATCTGAAGTAACTGCGAAGTACATGGCACTCAGGTCCACATGAATGCAGTGTGGAATAAGCAGGGTACAGAAGATATTAAGCCAGTTGTAGAAACAGTGTTGGGCATCTTGCAGCAAACAAACTACCCTGAATTTAGTGGCTTAAAAAATGTGTGATTTCTCGTCATGCTGTGGGCTGACTAGGCCTTGTAGCTGCCTGTCTGTTTCATGAGATGCTGGTGGAAGGCAGTGGGCTGGGGCTCAGATGAGCTGGGATGTGGGGGGTGCATCCCCAGGGCTGGCAGTGACAGTGACTGTGGGCAGGGCCTCAGCTGGGGCTGCACCTGGGCCACCTGGCTGCCTCCTCCCTCCAGGAGACTCTTCCACATGATGTGGGCAACTCTGGTGGGGGGAGAGGGAGAAGAAGGAGGTGGGGGCTGCTGGATCCCTTGGGGACTGAGTGTAGGCACCCAGAACAGCCCGTTCACCTCACTCTGGTGGGCAGAGTTAGGAGGGGCCCAGCCTTGGTGAGGGAGGAGAAGTGAGCCCCAGCTCTCCAGGGCAGGGGCGGAGGGAGAGAGGCAGAGAAGACAAGCCCTGGGGAGACCAGGCATCCCAGGCTGAGACAGGGAAGTGGTGACAGGGAAGTCAGAGGAAAGACGGGAGGAGAGAAAGGACCAAAGCAGGTGTACATAATGAAGGTATGGCTGAAAGGAGCACTCAGCTGAGGGTGCCCTGGGGAGCCCGCAGGATGAGGAGACACAAAATGACCTCATTATCCCTGCCTCTGAGGGCTGGCCTCCCTCTGGTCTCTGGATCCAAGTCCCGAGGTGGGTGTGGACCAGCCTCTCCAGTGCAGCCTCCTCTCACCTGCGGTTCACCACCTCAACATTTGTCCGTCACCTCACTGATGTACCTTGGCTCTCCCCAGCCATTTACAACTGCCCCCTCTCAGTGTGGGATGCCCACCCTCCTCATCCCAGACCTCAGTCGGCTTCTGGACTCCAGATGCATCTCTCTATCACAGAACCTCCTGGAAAGAGTTTCCTGTGCCCCATGGTATGCGGGTCCTGCCACCTCTCCTGGGCATCTAGAGACACCTGATAAATGTCTGTGCACAGACGAGGTGGAAGGAGGAAGGTGGATGCTGGCGTTAGGAGGAGGGAAGGGGGTGATTCCCTGTGATGCCAGTGCTGCTCAGGGCAGCGCAAGAAGAAAGAGGGGGAAATCACATTGGCAGCCTGGAAAATCCGAAACCATGGGACTGAGTCAAAACATTGACACAGGAAGAAGCAAAAACAGGCCCTGAATTTAATAAGGTCCTGACCTTCTGATACTCTGTTACCAGGGATTTTGAGAGATGCTGTGTTTAATGCTTACCGCCAGCCCAAGGCTCAAACAGTGATGTGTTCTCTCTGTGGGCACGTGTGATTGTTCATTATGTGTGTGTGTGTGTGTGTGTGTTTCCTTAAGGAGGGGACATGCCATCCTTCTGTGTGAGTCGTGGTTTAGGAAGGAGCATGGATTCAGGTCAGGGGAAACACCAGCATGTATATCACATTACTCCTTCCATTCCAGCTAGATATCGGAGTCCTAGTATGAGCCACAAATGATTTTTGAGATACAGTACATCGTCTGTCTATAAATTAGATAAACCTCTGTGGAGTAGTGATATGTATGAAAGTAAGGGGGAGGGTACAGCTCAGTGGTAGACTGCATGCTTCGCATGCACGAGGTTCTGGGATCAATCCCCACTACCTTCATTAAAAAAATAAGCAAATAAACCTAATCCCCCCCAAAAAAGATAAAATATTGGGCTTAAAAAAATATATATATGTATATACACACACACACACACACACACACACACACACAAATAAAAAATAATTACTTCCTACCCATGTCTTATCTCTTTCAATCGCCATACACACACACACACACACACACACACACATAAAGAAAATAAATTACTTCTACCCCCAATGTCTTAATCTCATTCAATGCCATACATTAGGAAAAATTACATTTATCTAAAACGTTTTTAATGAAGTAATTTTGGTAATCAGAAGCTATAGTAATACTTGGCATAGTATTTGTAATTCTGACTTGGTTTTGTATTATGCAAGCATTAAAAAAATCTTTAGGATTCGAATATATATTTTATATTTATATCATATATATATATATATATATCTCGTCGGTGTTTCAGAGAGGCTGGGTCAGCGCTAAACGGCTGTCTCTGCAGCATTTCTGGGCTGGGCTGTTTTATACTTTCCCTGATGGATGGTGGACAAGTTAGGACCGCCAGCCAGCTGGCTGGGTTGCTCCGAGGAGAGGCTGGGAGCTGATAAAAGCATTCCTGTTGGATGCTGATTTTGGTAGTTTCTTGGTTGCTTCATTCTGCTTGGTGTTAAGCCTGCAGTTCCAAGATTTGTCTGAACACAGTCATCTTGCTCAAAGCGAGTAGCGACTGTGGGTGGCTTGTCACGATTTCCCTTCTTCCGCACTTTTTTGAGTGCTGTCTTCTGTCTGATTACATTTATTGCTGTTCTAGAAGAGGGGATACAAATCCATGAAACGATAGCCTCTGGGAGGGGCGTTGGGCTGGAAAGGGGCATGAGGGAGCTTTTCGAGATGATAGCGGTTTCTGCGTCTGACTTTGTGTTGATTCTGGGTCCCTG